GCGGGCAGCAGCAGCTGCTGCTGCTGCTGCTGCTGCCGCTGCTGCTGCTGCTAGTGCTGCAGCTCCACACCCAACTTTTGTCTTTTTATTTTTTTGTCCCAGTCTTCCCCGCAAGCCAGTCCGTACGCAGTCTTCCGCAGCTGCCCTAAACCCTAAACCCTAAACCCCAAAGACGAACCACCCTCGATACGGGCCCCAGCCAGCGCTAGGGTTTAGGGTTTAGGGTTTAGGGTTTAGGGTTTGAAGGGGGGGCAAAGACGCCTTCAACGCGTGCCGAGCGGCACACGGCCACGCAACACTGGGGCACTCCTCCCGCCCTCTAAACCCTAAACCCTAAACCCTAAACCCTAAACCCTAGGCCCGCAGTCCCCCACTGCAGCTCGCCGCAGCCCGCGTACCACCTTCTACATGCGATCTGCTGCTGCTGCTCTCGCTCTGCTGCTGCTGCTGGCCCTCAGCGGCCACGCTCGGGCCCTCTCCCGCTGCAGCAGCAGCAGCAGCAAGTGCAGCTGCACCACGCATGCTGCAGCAGCAGCAGCATTTCTGTCCGCTAGTAGCAGCAGGGCGTTCCCCACCCTAGGGAGGAAACAGCCCAAAGAAACAGCTGCAGCAGCAGCAGCGGCAGCAAGTGCAACGGCAGCAGCTGCAGCACCAGCAGCAGCAGCAGCAGAGGAACAGCAACATGCTGCAGTCTTGCTGTTAGCAGCAGCAGCACATTTGCCCATAGAAGAAATAGAAGCTCTTGAGCAGCTAAGAGCAGCAAAACCATTTTCGTTGCCGCCGCCGCCGCCGCTGCCGCAGCAGCAGCTGCAGCAGCTGGAGCTGCAGCAGCTGGAGCTGCAGCTGGAGCAGCAGCAGCAGCAGCAGCAGCAGCAGAAGCAGCTGCTGTGGGGATTCATGAGCGTGGAACAGCTGGCGTATCACTACGCCAGACACCACGCTGGATACGTCAAGACCCTTAACAGTACGAGAAGGGTTTAGGGTTTAGGGTTTAGGGTTTGGGGTTTAGCCTGCGTTCATTGGGCCTCGGAATTCAGGGTTTAGGGTTTAGGGTTTGGGGTTTAGGGTTTAGGGTTGTCTTGTGTGTGGGCTTCTGAAGCTTTCGCGGAGAAGGACAGTCGACTGCAGGGCCTCTCCCTAGAAGGTGTGGGCTGAGGGTTTAGGGTTTAGGGTTTAGGGTTTAGGGTTTAGGGTTTAAAATCGAGCAGCTGGTTTGGAGACTCAACATATTGTCAGCTTCCGTTTGGCAGCATGTTTTGCTGTCTCTTGCTGCTGCTGCTGTTGCTGCTGCTGTGCTCCTGCTGCTGTTGCTGTGCTGCTGCTGCTGCTGCTGCTGCAGAAGCTGTGCGCGTACCAGGGCTTCCTGCTGCTGCTGCTAATGCCTGCGGGGAGCACTTCAACCATTCTTTCTTTTTTGCTTCGATTGGTCCCCAAACCCTAAACCCTAAACCCTTGCCTCAAACCCTCACGCGGATTCAGGAGGGTTTTGGCAGCTTGGAAAATTTCAAAAGCGAATTCAAAGCAGCAGCACTAGGTACGTCGAGGGTTTAGGGTTTAGGGTTTACGTTTAGGGTTTGGGCGCACGGCTGGCGTCCCAGCTCCAGCTGCAGGAAAGCTTAGGGTTTAGGGTTTAGGGTTTGGCGGTGCGCCTGGGGCTACGCCAGCGGTGGCATGGCTGCACTCGCTCCCCAGGGCTCAGCGTTTAGGGTTTAGGGTTTAGGGTCTAGGGTTTAGGGTTTGGGGCTGCGTTCAGGCCACTTTGGCAGCGGCTGGGTGTGGCTAGCCCTTGGCCGCGAGGGTTTGAGGGTTTTGGAAACTCATGATGGTTTGGCTTTGCCCTCTGTGCATCCAGAACTCTCTGCCCTGCTTGTTCTCGGTGAGCTAGGGTTTAGGGTTTAGGGTTTAGGGTTTAGGGTTTAGGGTCTGGGGCCTGCGGCGTGGGTTCTAGGGTTCAAGGCTCCACGAGGGTTTAGGGTTTGGGGTTTAGGGTTGGAGACTCAAGGTTTCGCGCAGGGTCTAGGGTTTAGGGTTTGGGGATGAGGGTTTAGGGTTTAGGGTTTAGCTGCAGCGGTGGATGCCATGGGGCCAGTGGTTGGGGATCGCAGAATCAGCTACAGCGCTTGGGGTTTAGGGTTTAGGGTTTAGGGTTTAGCTTTGTGGTTTTCAGATCTGTGGGAGCATGCCTATTACTTGGACTACAAGAACTCGCGCGCTGCATTTGTGGATCGTAGGGTTTAGGGTTTAGGGTTTAGGGTTTAGGATCTGAACTAAGGGTTCGCTGTTTGGGCTGTCCTCTGATCTGTTGGCAGCAAACTAGCCAGCTAGCTAGCTGGCTAGCTAGCTGGCTAGCTGGCTAGCTAGCAGGCTTGCTAGCTAGCCAGTCAGCTAGCCTGCTACCTAGCTAGCCAGCTATCTAGAGAGCCCGCCAGCCTGCTAGCTAGCCTGCTAGCTAGCTAGCCAGCCAGCCAGCTAGCTAGCTAGCCGGGCAGCTGCCGAGTGAGCTAGCTAGCTGGCCAGGCAGCTGGCCAGCTGGCTGCTAGCCAGCTAGCTAGCTAGCTGCTGGGCCAGGCCGGGCCAAGGGCCCGCAGCTGCTGCTGCATGCATTTAGCTGGAGTTAAGGGTTTGGGTTTTGTGTTGAGGTGTATGCGCAGGTTTCTGGGACGCAATTAATTGGGCGGAGGTGGAAAGGAGAGTGGAGGAAGCGGAAAGTAAAATGAAAAGAAATTGAAATAAAATGTAAAAATGCGAAATTAAAACATTAAAGGGGACATTAGAAGACAAATATTCAAAAAATGCAACGGGAGAAATCAAAGAAACGGAAATTTGAAGTTCAAATTTCAGGTGTATAGGCAGTTCCTTCAGGTGTATAGGCAGGTGTATAGGCAGCTCCGGGTGTACAGACAGCATCGCTGCACCGCGCCGGAGCGCCCAGAGCGTTTCAATTCTTTTTGTTCTCGCTAGAATGACAGAATTATTCTATTTAATTGGTAAGAAAGGAACGTGATAGATAAGTTCAGTGGACGACGAGGGTATCGATCCCTCTACCTCTCGCATGCTAAGCGAGCGCTCTACCATTTGAGCTAGACGCCCGACAATGGGGTTCTTTCGAGTTGTTGAAATAAACTTCTCAATTCAATTTCATTTTAATTCTCTTTCATTTTATTTCTTTTCTCACATTAACTCATTCCTTTTCAGCTTCTAACTTGACCTGCTGCAGAATCTAGCTGGAGCAGCAGGCAACAGCAGTACCCTGGGGGCCCCCTGTGGGGGCCCCCAGGG